TGTGTGTGTGTGTGTGTGTGTGTGTGTGTGTGTGTGTGGCCAAGTTAAATTCTTCTTAAGAAATTATTACACAAAAATTATATTTTGTTCCTATTTCGACCTAAGCAATATCATAAAATCCTTAATACTTTATAATATAGATGATCGTCATTTTTATACACCTTGACATTTTTATATTATAATTATAAAATGATAGAGTGGAGTTGGGATTTTTTGAAATTATATACAAACTTACCTTTTTAAAAAAAGGTAAAAAAGGCGCTAAAAACATGTGATCATTCAATGAAACAATTTTACAGTAAAATTTAAATATGATAAAATCTAGATGATACATATAAAAAAAAACCCAAGTATACTATCTTTCCTAAATGATGATATACGAAATGATGAGGTGTATTTTCATTAAAAGTCTTTCTACTTCAATCTCTCTTCCTAAAAAAATAATTATAACTTTCAAAAAGTAAAACACAAGTAGTATTATCTTTATTAATGATATTATCCTTAATTTTAATGACACGTATCATTTGTATTTTTATCAAATTAATTCATTAAATTCTACCAAATCAAAAAATAAAATCCAAGTGATACTATCTTCTTATTATATTTTTATTATTTACTTAATTCTAATGATAAGTATCATGTGTATAAAAAATTTGATATCAGCAACTGGTGCTAACTTAAATTCCACAAAATTTTATGTATTATTTGTATAAAAGATTGATATCAACTACTGGCGCTAAGTTGAATCTTAAATTTTTATAAGTTAAATTCTTCCAAATTAAAAAGTAAAACACAAGTGGTAATATTTTCAAAAATCCGAGTGATACTATCCTTATTATTTAATTCTAATATGTATCATTTGTATGAAAAAAAAACCCAAATGGTACTATAAAAATCCAAGTGATACTATCGTTAGTAATCTTTACTATTTACTTTATTTCTAATTATCATTTGTATACAAATTTTTATATATTGTACAATAAAACCTAAGTATATATCTTTGTATTCCTATTCCAATCCACGTGATTTAATTTCTTTAAAAAAATTATTATATCTCACAATCCATTCAAAGACATTTTTTCTTCTAACTAAAGTACTAGTAAATAGTTATTTAATTCTCCTTCAAAATATTATTATATCGCAAAATATTATCAAATATTATATCGCAAAATATTACATATATAATATGTAAAATTGCATTACCTTCCTCAATTCAAGTGTTACCACAAAGAATTAAAGAGTAACAGTAACACATTTTTATTAAGCACGAAGCAGCACAAAACGAGAAAGTTTTATTATAATAACAAAATTTGTTATGTAAAATAACTTGGCGCTGCTAGACTTCAAAATATAATAAGATGTGTATCTGGAGACACTGGTAATATCTCGGCGTCTTAAGCTACGCACAGCGACACTGCCGTGGCTACTTTACGCGAGCCGGTGAGTTGCCAGGAATTTAGATTATTGGATCTCAAAGGGTTGAACTGATCAGATTCTAAATGCTCAATCGATTGCATCCGGTCTAAATATATAATGAAAGTATTTTTATTTTTTCTCTACGTGTCCTATGAGCCGAGATATTGCGACGCAAAATTTGAATCTGAAACTTTTATATTAAAATTAAAAAATGTCGTCGTCGCCGGCTGCGGAAGGGGATTTGTCCTTTTGGAATTTTTGGCGCAAGAGGCAAATGTGGTGCTGACAATGCATGGTCACATCACACATGTCTGTTTTCTGTGGCTGATGATAAACTAGTGTACACTTTTTGGAATTAAAGTGAGATAGTTTAAGTTAGGAAATCCGTCACGTCGATGGCGTAGAGGAATACGTAAGTGATTTTCTGCTTCTGCAATTACACAAATTAGACTTACTTGACATGTTTTTGCACGAAATAAACGAATCTGGCAAAAAAAATGTATCGCTTTACATGGACCGAGATATTAATCGTTAAAGTTGTTGATGATGTTCAAGTTAGGAAATCTGTCACATCGATGGCATAGAAGGACATGAGAGCATATAATTGAAGCTAGAATAAGTATTTTCTGCTTCAATTACACAAATTCTCTGCTTTAAGAACACATTCTTTGCTTTAAGAATACAAATTATTTTCTATATAATTTTTATTTTTACAACAGAGTATTTGTCTTGGTTAAATATTTGTCTGTAAAGCAGAAAATTTGTTTAACTCTCCATCAACAGATCCATGCAACAGATTTCCTAATCTGTCAACTTTAACAATTAATAACTCGTTTGCGAAATAGAGCGATACATTTTTTTGCCATTTGTTCATGTAATACAAAAACGCGTCAAATGAGTCTAATTTTATCAACCTCGAGGAGATGAGGACTAAATTCAACAATTACCGAATGTTGATGTCTTGCATAAACCTAATTGTTTAGTATATTATAATTCGACTTTGTACGTACATTATTATGTAACTTGTAATGTATGTTCAGGATTTATTAACACGTTTTCGGCATCACAATTCAACTGTGAAACAAGATACTTTGAAACAATTAAAAGACATCTTGTTACAAAATCCTCTAAATCTTTACATTCACAATTGAATTCTCTGTTATAT